ACCACAACACACACACACACACACACACACACACAACACACACACACACAACACACAACACACACACAACACACACACACACACACACACACACACACACACACACCACACACACCACACACACACACCAGGATCGTAATGATATGAAACACCCCTGACCCCCTGTTTAACCTCCAGGGGTACTCCCCTTAGTAATTAAAACCCACTTCTGAACCAAATCCCAATCCGTACATACAATCCTATTCAGAGGGTCCTTTACGTACATGTCAGTTACATTACAGGACTTCACTACTGTGTACCACACACACACACACGTAGGACAATAGTAGACCCTCTCGCCGGCGAAAATATTAAGTAGTAGCGAGGTCGTCTGCACTGCCCTTCCTTCCTAGTCAGGACGACGTGTGACTCGTCGCTCTACTATCCTCGTGTGTGTGTGTCTGCTCAGAGTAGAGTCAGACTTTTTGACGTATGACATTGGTGGACTTTTTTCGTTGGACCGAACCGTGTCAACCGCTTTTTTTTTTTAATCCTTCATCAGAGAAGAGAAAGGGTCATTTTAAAAAGTCAGCTCACTGGTGAGTTGAGTACGGAACCCTGGTCGCCATCGAGTGTCTTTCACTACTGTGGGGTTATCACGACCTATTCGATTTCAATAGCTGGGTATTTAACCGGACACCCCACCAACTCCTATACGATTATACCGTCTGCCCACCGCATTGCAACAGGGACAAGAGAATTACGATATTTGATGTACTGTGAGTAATGAAACCCAAAATAACTTACTCAGGGGAAACGAGGCAGTCCACTTGTTGCCGTCCATCTTGTCGACGAGTGAGGTATTTCGGAGTAGTGAGTCGGAGGCGATTTGGGTAATACATCCAGTAACGAGAGTAGGGGCCCTAAAAAAAAAAAAACGACCTCCTTATGGTGTTGACTGTAGACTCATTAAGTTGCGGTCGGTGTCGAGTGGATGAATCGCTTTAACTTGCGCACGTACGCCGGAGTCGGGAGGGTCAAACGGCGGACGGAGACAGTAAAAAATACAGGACGCCTAGTAAAATCTTATGGCTAGTCTGTACT